TTTGCAGGTCTTGTGTAGAAGGCACGAATGTATCATACATGACATTGATATATCGAATCGATATATGCTTTCATACAAGGCTACAATCACGGAGTTCTTTGTGTAAGATCAAACACATGATACTCGTAATAGATTGCGAAAGTTGCCATTCTCATTAGCTCTCTCTCTCTCTCTGTGGCGTTGCCCTTCAGAACGTACGTGATCATGGTTCTCTCCAGCTTCCCCCTTCTTTCATTGTTCTCGGTAATAAATGACCCCCTTTTTTAATTTTTGTGTTTGCCCTTCCATCGTTTTGCTTAAACTTGTCAAGTAGGCTAATCAATTCATTCCTCTGTTTTCAATCGAGAGTGTTAAATTCCTCAAACCTTTTCTCATCGAGTCTCAGGTGTTTCGCCTGTTTCGGTTTGGTCTGATTTGGTTTGTTTTGTTTTGATTTGGTTGGCTTGTGGCATATCAACATCTCAATGAGTAATTTAATGCCGACACGATTTTTATTGCTGGTAACACTTTTTTCAAAAATGTATTGCTGCTAATATAGTTTTTTTCCAAAAATGTATTGCTGGTAATATTTTTATTTCATAAGTGTATTGATATATATATATATATATATATATATATATATTTACATTATTAGGACTATCGTCCTCATTTTGTCGCCATATTTATTACAACGTTTCAGCCGTTGTACGCTCTGGACTTCTTCAGGTGGTTGGAATGTCGAACTGAACCCTTTATTTCGCTCACTGGGGTAGACTGTTCTAGTTCAAAGATGCTCCCATCCTATCCAGCCAGATGGTGAGTTGGACGTGGTGAGTTTGTTCACCAAGGTACTCTCAGAGGCACTCTCAGTAGTCAGAGACAGATTGGCCTCTGACTCATACTTAGAAGAACGGACCATTATTCCAATAGATAATCTGATGGAGATGTTGACTTTCTGTACACAAACAACACAGTTCAGAATGGGATCACACATATATCGACAGGATGAGGGCTTAGCAATGGGCTCGCCATTATCACCAGCAATGGCGAATATATACATGGAATACTTTGAGGAAATGGCATTAGAATATATATCTCTAAAGCCAACTATATGGTTAAAGTACGTAGATGACACCTTCATACTCTGGCCACACCAAGAAGATTTTCAGGTTCTACTGGCCCATATGAACTCAATAAAACCTTCGATACAGTTCACAATGAAGAAAGAGATAGTAACAACACACTCCCATTCCTGGATGTACTAATATCTCGAACAGAGCATGGGTTCAAGACATCCGTATACCGTAAACCAACATTCACCGGACAGTACCTCAATTTCAACTCTCACCATCCATTGAAATCATAGACAAGGAACACCATTGAAAATTCGTAAACTTAAGGATCAGCACAAATGCTCGGCCACAAAAATCTTCTGAGCCGACCAAGCATAGAAATGACTACAATATGGGAACCAGTAACAAGGAGTACCAGAGAAAAGCTACAATAACAACAAAAAGTAGCAATATGAGCTCTGGTAAAAGCATAAAATGATAACAGCAAAAATCGCAATATGAGCACTGGTAAAAATGCTTGCTGAAGACATTAGGTTTATAATACCCAGAAATTCATACACAAATGTTCTCAAGGACCCATGGCACAGTAGATAAAGGCGTTGGTCAGATCCAGTGACAGGACCCAATGAGTGTGTGTTCAATACCCGGTTAAGGCAGTAGAGAACTTTCAGGGGGAAATTAACCGGAGATAACTGATAACTGACATCTATTAAACAGTCTGGAATAAAGGGTTCAGTTCGACATTCCACTACGGCCGAAACGTTGTGATAAATATGGCGACATATAGAAGAGAACGATAGCCTGAATAATGTAAATAATGTACATAATACTTCATCTCAGAAATATATATATATGAAAAAATATAGTCTCAAGGTGTGCTATATTTATTGGATAAAGTGCTCAATATCCGAGATAGAGCGTATGTAAATATAAAAGGGTGCATTGAAGTCAACACTTAGAGGCGACAGGCTGGCCTGATGATTTCGTCTAGTATGAAACAGCCCGTTGACTTTAATATTCATATATATATATATACTAGTAATATTTTTTCCTGAAAAAATGTATTGCTTGTAATAATGTATTATGCTGGTATTAATTTTCTTTCAAAAATTTACTGCTGCTAAAATTTAAAAATAAAATATGTTGCTGGTATTGAAACCTATTTTTACACTTTCATAGTGTTTTGATCCTAATTTGAGGGGAGGATTAAGTATTTGCCCATAGCTGGGACCCTTACAGGTGTTTTTTTTAGGGGGGGGGAATATTTTTTTTTTAAATTTATTGCTGGTAATAATTTTTTCTTCAAAAGTTCATTGCTACCAATAATTTTTAACAAAAAAAGTATTGCTGGTATTAAAGCTATTTTTACGATTTCATAGTGTTTTGGCTCCAGTTTCTGGGGGTCAACTCTCTGCCCATAGCTGAGACCCCAACATGTGCCACAGCCCTGGATCAGAGCGGACTCAGCAACACCAGCAATCAAGAGGTGGTTCCACGCTTCTCAAATCAGAGGCCTTGCTGTTGGATGTAGTTTATTGTCTTACTCAAGACACGAATGTAGCTTATCGTCATACCCAGGACACGGATGTAGTTTATCGTCATACCCAGGACGTAGGGCTGTTTCCTTCCGATTGTGAACAACAATTTCTTTATAGTTAATAGTCTCTTTTAAACTTGGTTTGTCACATAACCTGTCTCTGATAGTGTTGATATTGGGAAGTCGAACCACATCATAGCCGCTTCATATACAGTTGAACCTCGGATCACGAACGACCAAATCGGTTCACGATCTAATTTTCCGAAAAATAAAATAAAATAAGAAACGTCTCGGATGACGAACAGGTATCTCGAGCGATAAAAACGCAATCTGGTGAAATTTATGCGAAATGGGTTGATGTGCAAAGTTTCGTGGAACGACATTACCCCTGATAAACCATTTGCTCACCACTTTCCACTTAAGACATCACTCTCCTCCGTACAGCTAGGATAAAATTAAATTAAGTTTTTTATTTTTTTTTTCCTTGTTAGTTTTAATGATTTTTATTGACTCTGTGCGTGAATCTGTGCATTTTACATTGATTCCTATTGGGGAAATAGTTTCGGTTTACGAAGTTTTCGTGCTATGAATGGCTTTCAGGAAAAATGTGAGACAAGCCGGGAATATCGGAGAGCGTCAGATGTTCTGTAGGTTTCGCATCATACAAATCCATACTCGAATTCGCTCTGCCTTCTCTTGAATTTAACGTATGTGCGTGCGCATGCGTGTGTGTTAAATAAATTATTAAATAAGTCACCTTATTAAATAAAGATTTTAAATTATAAAAACTAAGAAATTTATTTGGACAAATCTTTAGTCAGACAGAGGCACAATGAGTCTTAAGCAAAGTCAATTGGTGCTAAGAAACAGAAAAGTGGGGGAAAAACATTGACCTGACGATTTTATGGAAGGTGACTCCCCCTTCTTAACCATAACATCTCTCTCCTTTCACCTCCTCACCACCTTCCACTTACGCCATGACCTCCACCCCCACTCGCGAGTAGGGTAAAATTAAATTACGTTTTCGCCTATATTTTATTTGTTTAGTATTGTGTTTATCTTCTTTATGTAAGATTAAATGATGTTCATTGGCTTTGTGCATGGATTTGTGCACAAAGTATTACTGTAAAAGTTTAAATAATTTAGGGTCCACGAACGGATTAATCCATTTTAAATTGATTCTTATGGGGAAAATAGTTTCCGTTTACGAACATTTCGGGTCACGAATGGCCTTCAGGAACGAATTAAATTTGTGAACCGAGTTTTCAGTGTATATTCCTAATTTTTGAAGAAATTTCCCAGCATTCTTTGTCATATCCACATAGAAAGACGTGGAAATCGAAACTGTTTTCTTCCTTTTTATTGATTTTTGTTCTTTTAATATATTTTTTGATACTAAGTTCAACCAAAATACGGAGGCTCTCAAGGTAGTGAGTTACTGCTAAAAATGTTTATGATGATGAGATATAAGATGAGTGGGAAAGGAAATAGTAGGTAATGATGCTGATGAGGATAAGGAGGATAGATAACGATTGATCCTTGACTTGAAGATGTTAAGCTTGTAGTGTTTTGGGAAGCGTAGTTGTAAAGGACTTAACTGGTAAAATTAAAGAATACATCTCATCTGAACATTTGCCATGGAAACAGTGATAGAGTAGCGATTGGCTTGAGACGTTTTGTCTGTGAATAAAAAGCTGCAGAATAGTGAATTGTTGCCTCGCTGAACAAAACTGCTGTAAAAATTCTAGAGCCTATCAAGGCTGGAAAAGGTGGGTTGAGCGAAGCAGTCAAGATATAGCGGCAATACTGAGTATATGAATTTAACTTCTTGACTCTGGGATTGAACTCAGCGCCACCAAGATGTGATGAAAGAACGCTTTCAGAAAAGTTACCATATAGTCCGATTTTGGACTCTTAAGTTGATTGTCTGATTTTAATAAATAAAATAATATTTTGAATTATTTTTCTTTCAAATAATACTTTTGTAACTGTGACCTTGTTTCAGTTTATACGAATAAGTTATTCTTTGATCCTGAGAAATCAATAAAAGATATTAAAATCTATAGCCGTCTAGATTACGCCAGGACAGTATGTTAAATAAATGGAAATGCATTTTCAGAAGAATTTTAATTGTTCTTTTTAACGATCGCATTTTATTTCTCGAAATAAATAAAACGTTTCTCTGTCGAATTTCTGGCCTTGCTCGAATTCTCGGTCAAAGAACATTTGGAAAAGTCAGTTGAATTTGAGACTGCCTGCAGCTTACGACAAAATGTTTACGATTCTAAGTTTTATTGATTTTTTCCAGGATAAGCAAACCGTCTGGATATAGAAATTTACAAATCGTTATCGGTAAATATCTTAACAGAAAAAAACGTCGGACACATTCGGTGACGATTAGACGAGGCCCAATGATATACGTACAATGTAAAGAATACGATTTACACATCTATTTCGCTCTTTTATTGATCCCCTCACTTCAGTCTCTCTTTAAATATAGGTTATCTATATATCTAGCTATCGACATACGTATCTCTTTATATCAGTCTGTTTCAATCACAGCATTTTCATATATATCAATATCACTTTCTATCTCGCTCTCTAGCACCCACCCACTATCTATCTATCTATCTATCTATCTATCTATCTATCTATCCAAACCTGTTCCCATCTATCTATCTATCTATCTATCTATCTATCTATCTATCTATCTATCTATCTGTCTGTCTGTCTATCCAAACCTGTTCCCATCTATCTATCTATCTATCTATCTATCTATCTATCTATCTATCTATCCTAACCTGTTCCCATTTATCTATCTCAACCTGTTCCCATCTATCTATCTATCCCAACCTGTTCCCATCTATCTATCTATCTATCTATCTATCTATCTATCTATCTATCTATCTATCTCAACATGTTCCCATCTATCTATCTATCCTAACCTGTTCCTATCTATCTATCTATCTATCTATTTTTTATCTATCTCAACCTGTTCCTATCTATCTATCTATCTATCTATCCTAACCTGTTCCCATCTATCTATCTATCTATCCATTCATCTATCTATCTATCTATCTATCTATCTATCTATCTCAACCTGTTCCCATCTATCTATCTATCTATCTATCTATCTATCTATCTATCTATCTATCTCAACCTGTTCCCATCTATCTATCTATCCTAACCTGTTCCCATCTATCTATCTATCTATCTATCTATCTATCTATCTATCTAATAGAAAATTGATCCTATTTTGTGCCTCTTCGTCGTTAAATATTAACTTTAATTTAATTTCGAGTGGTATATTTCGATCTGTTCCTGTCTATCTATTGAAAATTTAAAGTCGATATAAACTTGCGTGGGCGGGTCAATTCGAAGCCGATAACTTATTGATCTTCATTTTTCTTTCTCTAAAACACGTCATCCTGCTGAATTCATTTGGCGACTTCTTTTCTCCTTGTTTATGGTCTTCTTTTTTTTTTTTCATAACGCCAAACGGTTTCGTGTCTCTGGCTGATAAGTAAAAAAGACCGTTTTTTATGAAAATCTTCTGCTGCCGACAATTCAATATGGCCGACGATTCACTTTTCTCTGATGTTTTCTTCCTCCCAAAAAGAAATGCAAAAGAACAACATATACAGACACACACGCGTGAAACGCACGCACACCACACACACACACACACACACATATATATATATATATATATATATATATATATATATATATATATATATATGTATGTGAGTGTTTTTGTGTGTATGCGTGTTTATGTATGCGCGTGCCTGTATACCTTTTTGTGTATGCGTGCGCGCCAGTGAAACCCTATGGAATCAGTAACAAATAAAAAAAAAAAAACTGAAAAGCGTCAATCCTCTTAGTTATTTAGGTTTGCAACTCGTAAACACAAAGGAAAACTATCTTTTTTTTTTGTTTGTTTGCTTTTGTCTGACTGTTCAAATTTTATACTTTGCTGATGTCAACTTCGTACTTGAGCTTCTAAATCGGAATAGAAACCAGCCGGCGAATTTTAATATGACTACTTTGTGCACTCATATATATATATATATATATATATATATATATATATATATATATATATATATACCCTTGTGCAAATTAATTGAAACAAAACGAATAATTCCTTATTATTTACATTTTGTTTCGCATTTTTCCAATGAAACATGACCCAGTGCACATGTCCATTCTACGAAGTCGTTCCCTGCAGATTGACCATAGATTGGATTTAATTCAGGAGTGTTTCCAGGCAAGTCTATAGTACTTTAATTTGATCACTGGTAAGGCTTGCCATTGTGTTCGTGCAATGTTATAATTTTCATAACTTCCATCGCAGACAACTAATCAACAGTCGAGAAAATAGTGTCTGGGCGTGATAAAAATCTGATGCGATCATGGATGACTCATTATTTTTCAAGAACAACCAAATTCCATCATACACCCCGAAAATAGATTCATGTTACTGCACACCACTGGAAATGACTTAGTTTGAAGATAAAACAGAAGTCGATTACACCGTGCCACTCCAGTGGATTCAAAACTGACCTTATGTTGAAAGAAAGCAAACTAAAGCTGTTTTTTTTTCAGTTAATTTGCACATGGGTGTATATACCGGGTGTAACAGTAAAATTTCCAAATCGAAAAATGTTTAATATCTAAAAAAAAACCACTGAACTAATTTAGTTTCTTTTTTCACAGGTTTTCAGATAAAATGTTTAGCCATCTTGATACCATTCGCATAAGAATCATTGAAAAACCCACTTAGTTATTCAGCTAAAAAGAAAACAGGTTAAAATCGTTTTGTGTCAGCTCCACTCTCCTTCCAAATGAGCTATGGTGAAAGGAAAATGATCATTCAGGCTTTCAGTAATGGAACCAACATCCATCCTCTGGCTTCCATCTTCAAAGTTTATTCAAGAACCATCAAGAAAATGGTGAATATGTTTTAAAAAGAGGGAACAGTAGAGAGGAAAAATTGATCAGGTGGTCAGCAAAAGGGATCATCATTTCAACTGAGAACTAAAGAGATCAATTAGAAAAGATCCAACTCAATTCATAGGACGTTTGGAATACGAGAGAGGAGTTTCAGCTATGACAGTCCAAAGAGCAGTGACAAAAAAAGATTTAAAAATGAAATCGTACGTCAAACCCGTCAAACACCTTGTAACTCCAGAACAGAAAGTTAAAAGGATAGAGAGGGAGAAGATAATCTTGAATAAGTTAGAAATTGACCCTGGAATAATATATATATATATATATATATATATATATATATATATATATATATATATATATATGAACTTTATGAGATTCCGATTCTTTGCTATGATTAATCAATGATGAACATGTCATTTTTTATTTATGATTAATTTCATCATATCACACATGCTGTTGTTAATAAAACAATGTTCGATGTAATAAAACCGAGCTTTTAAGTACATATTAATAAATATACATATTATCCTTCACATGTAGCACGACTCGTAGTTTCATGCACAACGCAATCGTCAGGTGCTGAGTATACACTGGCCGTTAACTAATTTAAATTTAAAAAATAAACATATCTGGTTATCAAAATGTTGGCGTAGATATATATTACACTGGAATTACAGATTTTTTTAATGTTAAAATGTTAAATTTTATTTGCGTTCCACTGAAAATCCTTGGAAATTTCGTTTCTACCATCATCGAATGAATTTACGTAATATAAAATACAAAAACAGCACTGATCTTTCCAAATATTTCTGGCAATTAAAGAATATTAGTAATCTACCTATTATCATGTGAGATATTGTGGCAAGAGCCAAATCTTATAACGGTAAAGGAAATAAAGGCAATTTATGTCTTGACACTCATTCATTTCTCTTGTTTAATATGCTAAAGACGGACATATATATATATGTTTGCGTAAGTATGTGTGGCGTCACGACGACAATTTTTCCTCCCACATCCATAAAAACACCAATACACGCAACCTACATAAATCCAAAATGTTAAAAAATTAATCAGTTTGTCTGACGATCGCAAAACCGTGAAACCCAGGATCACAAACTCACATCAATCCAACTAAATATTTAACCTCTATCTCTGATATTGAGCGCTTTCTAATAGGTACCGCAAATAAATAATATATATATATATATATATATATATATATATATATATATATATATACATCACTTTAAACGTCATAAATACTCAGTTTTTCATCCGAAATATAAAAAAACAAAATTCTCAAAATATAATGGATTTTTTTAAATCTATTAAACCTCTATATTTTAATCATTTTAAATCTTATTTTTAGTGGATACTAGAGAATGCATTTTTCATTTAATAAGATTTTTTTCAATATTCAGGTCGATAGGTGAAAATAAAATACTGTTTGAAATATAAACGGAGCATCTACTCAGATATGGGTATCCACTAAAATAAAATTTCAAATTATATATATATATATATTATATAATTATATATATATATTATATAATTATATATATATATATATATATATATATATATATATATATATATATATATATATATATATATATATATATATATAGTACAGTGGGGGAAATAAATATTCTTACACTTGAAAAATTGTATTTTTATAAATGTAAAAGCCTTAAATAAAACAAATCTAAGCACATTTTATGTATAATGTCACAAGCTATTAAAAAATAATAATAAACTTTATTAATTCTTATTCTAACAGAAATTAATGGATTTTTTTTTAATTCTCACTGGTGAAAAAAGTATTCGTACAAATCAATTATTAGAATAAAATAATCAATTAATTATGAAAACAGTATATTCTAGAATGTTCCAGTAATGTTATCAGTAATTATAGTTAACGCTATTAGCCATTATCAGAGCATTCTGCAATTTCTAGTCTTACGATGCCTAAAGGTAAAGAATTGACTATTTCACAAAAACAACACATTTTGTCTCTTTGGAAAGATGGGAACAATTACAGAACGATGTCTAACAACCTGAATATTCCTTTTACTACAATTTCTTCGTTCATTGCGAGGTTTAAAACTCGTAACAGCATCGAAAACCAAAGACGAACAGGTGCTCCGAGGAAGATTTCTCTAAGATCAGCAAGGATATTAGGACGCTAGATCCAACTAAATCCACAGGTAACCCGAGAAGAGCTGCAGGGACATCTGCGTGCATTAGGGATTAAAGTAACCAAGCGTACAATAAGTAATGAACTACACAAAAACAGTCTGAAATCACGCATCCCAAGGGAGACTCCACTCCTCTTGAAACGACACAGAGATGCTAGGCTAAAATTCGTTAGAGAGCATAAGGATAAAGAATATTCGTTTTGGGAAAAAGTACTATGGACAGATGAAACTAAAATAGAGTTGTTTGGTCATAATTATCGAAATCATGTGTGGAGGAAGGACGGTGAAGCCTACTTACCAAAGAACACGTTGCCAACTGTAAAGTTTGGTGGTGGCTTGTATCATGATCTGGGGCTGTTTTTCTGCAAAAGGTGTTGGCAGAATAAAATAATAGTGCAAGATGAATGCCGAAAGATACTTGAAAATCCTGCAGGACAATTTAATGCGTTCTGTTGAGAGACTTCGGCTACCTCCTGATTGGGCTTTCCCACTGGATAATGATCCTAAGCATACCGTTAGATCTACAAGGAAATAGTTAGCTGAAAGTAACGTTGATATCTTGCAATGGCCAAGTCAGTCCCCAGACTTGAACCCAATCGAGAATTAATGGCGATATTTGAAAATTCAAATTGGGAAAAGAGCACCAACAAATATCAAGAATTTGAAGACAATATGCCAAGAAGAATGGAACAAAGTACCACTCAACGTGTGCAAATCATTAGTTGAGACGTACAGGAATAGACTGGTAGCTGTTGAACTCAATAAAGGATATTCCACGAAGTATTAAATTAAGTTAATATGCTTTCTTTGTTTTGTACGAATACTTTTTTCGTCAGTTAAAACGAAAAAAATGCATTAATTTCTGTTAGAATAAGAATTAAGTTTATTACTATTTTTTTAATAAAATGTATCTTTACACATAAAATGTATCAAAATTTGTTTTAGTTAAGGCTTTTTACATTTATAAAAATACAATTTTTCAAGTGTACGAATATTTATTTCCCCCACTGTATATATATATATATATATATATATATATATATATATATATATATATATATATATTTGGCAAATAAAACATTCCTATAACTCTAGAAACATATATAAAAGAATTCATACATTCAGTTAAAAATTAAAAAAACATAAAGGCATCCTTGATATTGGTTAAAAGTATGGCTGAAAGCACTAGA